AATCAACTTTCTTCTTTACTTTTCCTCCTAGATCTGGTTTTAAAATCAATTCACTAACACATTCACTGAGAACATTTAACACTTCTAGAAAATTGTTTCCCTCTGTCGTCCCCCAGTTTGAGCCCAGTGTTCTTCAGGTCATGCACAGGTGACCTGCAGCAGCATCTACCAATGGCAAATCAAGCGGTTCCAGTCATCAGCCTTTTCAGTACAAAAATACCCCAGCAGGAGGTTCTTCAGCCAGACAGCTGGGACCCAGAGCCCGTCTGCCTTCTTCCCTCATCCTTAAAGTACCGCCGTAGCAGACTGGAAATTTCTCTTTCCCCTCTGGCAGTAGCAGCTAGCAGGGTGCAAGCATATTTGGTAAACCCTCCTCTTGCTTTAACCACGCTGCACTTTTAAGAGAAATAAGCATTTTCCAAGCTATGAAGCCATGTTCTACCTTTCCATGTATACATAACAATAAAAAAGCATTTTTAAAATTGTATCCATGATCAGTCTGTGTTGATCTTACAGTTCTGCTGCACTGTATGTTCCCTAATTCAGAAAAGACAATTTAGAAAGCGAAGGTGGTATCTGTATCTGCATTCGTATTGTTTTGTCCTTGCGCTGGCCCTAAATATGTCGGTAATTTTGAATTTTTTTTGTTTGATTTTGTATTTTTTATTTTTTCAATACAATTGTACTCTGGGTGAAGTTGGGATTACAGCATTGTCAATGAATGCTACAGTATGTCCCGGGGATTTCAGGCACTGAGCCAAAGCTTACTACAGCTGTCGGTTCTTAAAGTTCTTCATTAGCTGCTTTTGTTACTCGGATCTGCTTGCAGTACATTTTAAGCCTTTGAAACAGGAGAGGGAACACATTAAATAAAATCAGAGATTAATGTGGCTAATCTTTTCTGGTGATTGCATTTCTAGTAACCTAGATTTAAGTTTAATTATTCATCTCCAGGGAAAGCACTGGACAACAGTGCTAATGGTTGGTATAAATGGTATTTTGTTTCTTCATGGTCACTGCTGGGAAAACACTGCTGCTGTCACAAATAGGTTAGAGGAAAAAGTTTTCTTTATTATCAGTGATCTCTCTGGTTTCTTTGCTAAGGCTTGTTGCAACACTTGTAATTTCTGTAGAAATATCTGTCATATGACAAACTGGTTACATTTCTGTAGGGCACAACTGACTTCTAGAAATGTGTGGAAAAAAAAGTAAATCCAGACCTGAGTGAACTTAGAGACATAAATTTCCTGTCACAGCAAAAGAACGGTTTATCTGCAAAAAGACTAGAAGAAATCAGGAGATCAAACTGAGGAAAGGAGAAAAATGTAAGCGTGGAAAATAAAGAGTGGAATTCTCTGATGAATTTTATTTGTGTGTTGAATATAAAAATGGGGGAGAAAAATCTAGTTTGTGATTAGAGATCAGGATTGTGAGTTGAAGAGCATGGTTGCTATTTCTGGCTATGGCATAGCTAATTCTATTCTATAGAATAAATCTGATCTTCAGAAGTGACTTTCTATGATGAAATCACTTTTATCCTCCTGAAACTCAGGCAATTGTCCCTGTGTTCCCAGAAAGATTGACTTAATTTTTACTGCTACTCAAAGAACTCACTGCAGTGACTGCAGACCCAGAAATTTCTAACAATTCCCTTTATATACATTTTAGGACCCTAAAAATCTCCCCGTGAGTTGCAAATAAGCCATATTTCTCCCTTTTGTCAGGTGACTCTGAACATATTCCAGCCAGCTGTACTCGGGAACTACATAAGGAGAATGTGCTGGGTGCAGGTCCTGCATTCATATGTCTAAAGAACCATTTTTAAGCACCTTGGGATCTTTCAACGTGAGAGGTCTGCCTCAAATGAGAGCGTTAGAAACTGGTCAGCAGAGGTTCTTTTGCCTATTTCCTATGTGCTTTGCTTTTATTTTTAACTCTGTTTCCTTTTTTCCTTTGTAGCTTTCAGAAGACAACGAAAAAATAGAAGTGAATTAAAAAGTGTTCTTTCGCCTTTTTTCACCTCGGAACTACTCTGCTCACATGTCTTCTGCCTACAATACCCTATCTAACCTCTTTTTCATGCTTGAGCTCCCAACCTGCATCCTTCAATGTCTGACCCTGTAAATTATCGTTAGGCATTTCTGCTGCCTTTAATGGTTTCATTTTGAGGAAATGAAGCTCATACCTTTTCATCTTTTGTATTGTCTGAGATATTTGATGAAGAATTAGATCTTTTGGCACAATCTCTCTTTTGTGAACGGCTCCTGCCTGTCTGTAATCAAACATAAACCTTTCATTTTTAGTAATCTCTTCCTCTCCATTGATTCCTATGTCCCCCCTGTTGCTCTGTTTGTATGATCAGTGCTATATTTGGGGGTCTTAGAGATCCATCGCTTCTTAAATATAACCCCTTGATTTGCTATTTTTTGTATCTTCCAGAAGCACTTTCTCAGCAGGTATTTCTGCCATGCAGCTTTCAGAATTTAATTCAGTAATTGAATATCTTTTGTCTAAAAGTGAACCGAGTAAAAAGTCTGTACAACTCTTGCTGACGATACCTTTAGTTCCACAGACTGTGGAGTATGAAATAGGGAGTGCCAGTTTGACCAGTGGGTATACACTTACCATTTCCTCCTCGAGCAAGACAGATCACAGTCATCTTCCCTAATTGTTTCGGTATCATCCAAATGTCAGTTAGTCGAGTTCTGCAAATATTTTAAAATCTATATTGGTGTAATAAACCGTTTGACTCAACTGGAAGACGATCTTATGTGCAACATCCTATTCTTTCTCATTGTTGTATATATGATAACTGGAGTCTCAGGTTTGAGGGGAAACAAGAGGGAGTCTTGAAAGTTGTCAAGGAAGTTGGTTGTCAATCATTCTCATCATCACCATCTATCACGACAGATAGACATGAGTTCAAAATCCCAAATGAACATGATTTTTCAAGTTGCCATGAACAGGACCTAAGAGCCAAATATTGTTCTTTCTGTTTCCAGATTGGTGCTTCTCTGTTTGCCAGCAATATTGGCAGTGGACATTTTGTGGGAATAGCGGGAACAGCAGCAGCTGGAGGAATTGCCATCGGAGGTTATGAATGGAATGTAAGTGGCATGCATTTAAGTAAACTTATTTGTCACATCAGGATTATCTGCAGAGGCTTATTGAAATAATGTTGCCTAATAATGTAGGGCTGTTGAAGTTTGTGCTTGACAACAATTTTTTTCTGTTCAGACCAGCAAGTTCCAATGTAATCTAGTATTTAGCTCATCCAACAACTGTTGTTTAGGAAGAAGCAATGATGCATGTGTATATTTGAGCAGATATGCTACATTACTTGTGACATAGTAGGACTGGTGTATAGGATAATAGATGTGGTGGAAATATTGGTTCTGACTGTCTAATCTGATTCTCCTCTTGCAAGAAATACTAAGTTTGACTGTTACTGTCCTCGTATATCACTATTATTCCACTCAAATTATTTCTAATTTGTATTAGTATGACAGCAGAAGCTGACCCAGTATTTCTTGTCCATCTTATGGTTTTGATCTAAGGGCAGAACTTAAAAGATACAGTTAAAAAGCCCTCTAAGCCCTGTGGACAGAATAAATGCAGAGTGCAGCTCTGAGAGCAGGATTTTGGTCTATATTAGTGAATTTAAATATGTACAGCTCTGTATCAGAAAACGTTTGCTAGCCATTTAAATCAGAAAACTGTGACACTGCAATACAGTAAGATCTATAGTTCACAAATTACACATGGTAACACAAAATACGTTATGAAATGGTCACGTGGAAATATGAAATATTTTACAAAATGCATGTGGTACATCCTGTACAATATGTGAGATTGTGGTAAAACATTTGGCCATCTCACAGAGACCCAGTGCAGAAGGCAGTTGATCAAAATAATGATCAAAAGAAATGTTACTCTCCCCAGTACCTAGATTTGCAGATGTCGCAACATACCATTGCAGCATACCTGATTCTGAGTGGGAGAGTATCCTGCATTAGTGGCTCTGGGATCAAGATGCTAGCAAATAGGTCTAGGTAGTAGGCTTCACCTTCCTTAATATGTCCCAGAAATGGTAGTCTTATGGGCTGGTTGCATTTTAACCATTGCTAAACCAGGGTCCCTGGGCTGGTTCTGAAGAGAGCTGGGATAGTCTGGTGCTGCTAGTGGAGTGGTGCTTTGATACCAGAGGGCAATCCTGTGAGCAGAAATTAGCTGTTTTTCTAGAAAATGTCTTATTATCAAGTGTGCTTCTCTAGGACATCTAGCATGAAATTCAGGCTGCATTATACCTGACAAATTTTTTGGCCAAAATTTCCTTCCCAAATTTTCAACTGTAAATTAAAGGACAGAACAGTGCCTCCTCCCCACCACACCCGCACCACCCAGGTTTATGTGATTTCAGTGGTCTCTAACTGCTATTAAGTCTGATAAATGGTCTTTGGGAGTGCTACTAGAGAGAGGAGGCTAATTCAGATGATCTTGTCTTGGCTGCAGGCTCTGATACTTGTGGTTGTTCTAGGATGGCTGTTTGTACCCATCTACGTCAAAGCTGGGGTAAGTCAAAACAGTACGTCATGCTTTTCTTCGCCACTCATGTTTGTGGATCAGGTCTTGGATATTGCAAAGCCATTATGAATGGCACAAGATCTGAGCATGCTGGAACTGTACTATATTATGTCTATATATATTTGAAAAGCGAGAATGCTCTCTTCTGAGACCTGAGCTGCAAATTACTTGGTACTGTCTCCTTGTTCTCCTTTGATTCCTGGAGCTGCTCTTCCTTGCAACTGCATTTGTAGCTCCCCTCCCTTTGTGCTCCACTCTTACAGTATCTGAGTAGCAAAAAACTTCCTCTAATTTGCTTTGCATCTGTTCCCCATTACCCGAAACCTTATCTATCCCCTCTGCAGGTCGTGACAATGCCAGAGTATCTGAAGAAGCGTTTTGGTGGGAAACGGATTCAGGTCTACCTATCAGTCCTTTCTCTGATCCTGTATATTTTCACAAAGATCTCAGTAAGTAAAACTTTTGCAACATTTCTTCTACCCTACATTGATCTAAAGAAAAGAAGCTCCCATTTACAATACTGCTTACACAATTGGTCCACTGTTTCTGATTTGGAGACCACAGTTGAATTAAGGACTGTAAAAATAGGATTTTGTGTTTTCTTTATTCTGTCTAGTGAGATTGTGTATTCAGATCTGTTCTGCAATCCAAGTTTTTTCCTTCCTGGCAATGTCTCTTGATGCTTGTTGTGCTTTCTCTTTCTTTTTTAGGTTTTAAGGTTTACTTCTACTTATGCTCTCCTCTAGAACAAGTCAGAGTGGAGGAAACTACAGTCTATTAGCCTAGGGATCTGTGGAACCAGTGGCAGGAATTTTTGTCCTCAGACTTCATATTTATCTGTCTTAGCATCCTCTGGTGAACATGTCATCTGTAATATGATGAGGGAAAAGAGCAAGAGGGCTAGGGAGAAAAAGAGAATAATAGGAATTAGAAAATAAGGGAGTGGGGAAATGCAAAGGAGGAAAATTATAACAACTGAGGTGAAAAGAGGGAAGAGGAGAGATTCTTTTAATGGGCAAGTGGTTGGTATAAAGTTTAAGGTGCTATGAAGTTAATGTTTATTAAGTAAGTGGTGGTGTTGCTGTGAAGTAGTGAAGGGACCTGGTGTTTTCCATATATCTTGAAACTATGAAGCCTCTAAAGAAGTCCACAGTTCAGGCATACCTCAATCTGTTGTTTTGCAGAAGTTGCCATGGCAGATTACTCTTTGCCCTCTGAATGGGAGCTGAGTGATAATAGTGCAATTTAAGCTAAAAGATTGGCCTTTTGCTCTCATTCTCACATCTTCACGATAACTGATCCTTAGAAAGGTTATAAATTAAACAGATTGGTACTGTGGAGCTGGCGTCAGAGTTGGATTTCCATATATTTCAAGAGGATTAGTTAATTTGCTGTTGTTGTGCTTAACTCCCATAATTGGAAGTCCCAGGTGTGACACAGAGTTCTGGCAGCTCTAGCAGCTGAGAAACTCTTCCAGTCCGATGACTCACAGTCCTATTCTGCTATGCATGACTGTAATGAGCCCATCAAGGTGTTATGTAGGTTCTGAATTTGCGGTCTATCTTCTATTTCTAGCCTCTATCATGCCTAAGGATCTGATCATGGGATTTCACCCCATTTCAGTTGGAATATCTTGCTTCCATGCAGGACAAGTTCTCCGTTTAAGCTTCTGGTGTGGTCATTAGGCTGAAGCACCCTCTCCTGCTCTTGTGGTCCTGTCTTATTAGGGAGCAAGGGAATAGTCAAGAGATCCATACAGGAGCAGATTACCTGGGACCCACTCTACCAGTGGCCCATCCCAGCTTCCCATCAATCCAATTATTTCAGATGTGTGTGGGGAACAGCCATGGACCTGGGTCTCTGTGCCATGCAGGGGAAAAATCTGGCGCTCAAGTTCCTCTAACCATTTCTCTTGTTTCCCCCAGGTGCCCAGAACAACTCTGACAGTGTCTGTGCCGTGCACAAATGTGGCTCAGATTTCTGTAGTATACAAACACATCTTCTGCGTTGTTGCCTTACGTCACTATATTTGGGAGGGCAGGATTTGCCCAGGTCAGGTTTACTTGCCATATCTTACTCAGAATAGGCAGAACAGTCAAAGTCCTTGGAGGTTTCAGGTACTGTCAGAGGATGTCAGAGCAGGTTTTTCTGTACCATGCTATGGAACACCATGGCAAAATTGTCTCCAGATGAACCAGCTCCAGAGGCAGAAAGGGAAGGGCTGTTCCATCCTGGACCGTAGCGAACTTCTCTATGCTGTATAGAGATATGCATGCCATGTGAAGCTAGCATAGGTCTCTCTTCCCAGAGGCATGCTGTATATGCAAACATACCCATGTGTGGACAGTCCACACCGTAGCTGGCTTGGGGATTTGCATTTTACTTCCTTGACTGCTACCTTTGCAAACACTCCCTTGTGATATTGGGGCTTACTGAGATTTCTGCCCTGCCCTTAATGGGCAGTCACACCTATCAGTTTGACTGGCAGCGATACTTACTGCCACTTGCCCTTGTGGAAGAGTGGCATCTTGTTTCTGGGCTATTTATTTTATGTGCTGCTTCCTTGATGTGTCAAGGTATTATCTAATGTTCTTAATTATTATGGTGCTTTCCAATGAACAATATAATATGTCAGGTCATGTAACTCCTGGCATAGCGCCCACCATGATGTGATAATCATATTCCCTTTGCACACCTCTGCACAAGGTCATTACCATTTCTCTTTTCCTGCATATTTTCTGTGTTTTTTTTGTTGATTTCTTACCTTGCTTTGTGGCGAATCAACCACTTGCCAGGTAAGGCCATGCTGCAAGGTGTTGATCTTTGGGATCAGGACACGCGCGATCTTTGAGCCCAAAGGGTTTCTGTTGCACAGATACCTCACGTGTACGTGCTTCCTAAGCATGCAGTGCTTTGTGAGTAATGCCCATAGCAGCTTTCAAAGGCTTGCTAGCCACTAGTGTTGCTGATATTGGCCATTATGCCAAAGAAAATGGCCTAGTAAAAGTAAAATCTTGATGGAGAGTAATTGACTAAATTGTGGCAAGACAAAAGGGAATTAAGACCCGATTGTTTTTGAAGAAATCAGAAATTGTAAACTGGAATTTCTAAATGTGTTACAGCATTTTCTTTACATTCATTGTGCATAATGTCAGTAGTAAATATATGGGCATAGACTTACCAGGGGGAAGAGGAGGGAGAAGGATAACCTCCTCTTAGAACTGCATGGTGTAGGGGGTAAAGAGTATGTGCCCCTGCCCTGACTCCCACATTAACGTCGCAGCTGGATTCACGCAGTTGGCATGTGTTCTGCCAGTTGTTCCTGCATGATCTGCACATGGCTTTGGAGAGATAGTCTGTAATGTAGTCTCTATTCAGAGATAAGATAAAGATTAAATAGTGTCCATAAAAGCATATTAATGAAGAAACAAGGAAATATTGAGAGGCAATAATCTAATTGGGAAGGGGCAGCAGTGAAGCTGAGAGGTAACACAGCAATTCGAAGAAGCTGATATATTGCTCAGGATGCTAAATAATTAACTACACATTTCTTTCTGGGGGTCATTTTAGGACTATTAATAGTTAATGATATGTAGGCTAAACGAAAGCCAAGAACAATAAAAGAAAGATCTGGGACATAAGCTGATCAGTGGTGTGAAAAGATAGGAAAAAAATATTACCATAGAGAGAAGGAACAAAAGATATGATCTAACACTGGGGCTGAGAGCTAAAAGTCCTTGTTCCCAGTTCCAAACTAAAACCTGTAAGAAATCAAACAATCTCAAGTTGCTCCAGAGGCAGAGTTTCGGGAGTGAGACCTCCGTTGTGATTCACACTCTACTTCACGGTTCTTTTCGGTGTGTCAGGGCAGTAGGGTTGGAGGACCTCTTGCATCATGGAGGTCTGTGCATCTTCCTCATTCTCCAGAGTTAACGAAGGCTGAGCTCATACCCTGCAGTCTCGGTTTCAGTGTCTCTGGAATGAAGAGGATTTCCTCGCCCGGCGTCTCCCATCTAGCCAGACTCCATAGCTGCCTCTTGGGATATCTGCCCTGCCTCACCTCGGCCCAGCTGTGGACAGAAGCGGTGCAAGTGCCCGTTCTGTGACCACAGGCTCTGGCTGTCCGGCAGCCTGCCCGGTGGAACCTCCTGCTCCTCCCGCAAGCTGCCGCCTCGCCTGCGGTAGTCGTGTGTGCAGGCTTCACTCCAGGGCATGTCTAGTGTTGTTTATCTGTGTTTCTCCGACCCTCCATATGGGCAGTTCCTGCAGCGTTTTGCAGCTCCTGAGCTTGCTGAACGCCAGGAGGACTTGTACTGTAAAATGAGGGTAGGATTTGCTGTATAGATATATATCTCTCTCTATATATACCACAAATATATCTATTATTCGTGGTGTACAGAAAGGAGGCGTGCAGGTCGGATTGGAGATGAGCCCATGAACTGGATGCTCAGGAGCAGGGATAGGTACAGATGCAAACCTCTAATGAAAGCATAATTTACATTAATGCGTTACAAGTGCACTGCAGTAGATTATTCTGATTGTAAACTTGGATAAATAACACCGATGCAAATTATCTCTAAATAATTATATCTAAATCAGGAACTGATTTAGTGTGATTAATATCCCAGAGTGTTGCCCTGAAACCTGAACAATTCCTTCCTTACGCAAGAACTAAAGGTCTTTTCTGTTAGCCAACTGATGTCAATTATGCTTACAGGAACTTAAAAATGGAGATGATATGTTTGCCTTTAATCAGCATTTGTTCTGAACTGGCAAAGCTAGCTATACCACATGTGTACAAGCAGTAAAGAAAGAGTAAGACACTTACAGAGTAGCATTAAATGAAGAGAACCATGCCGTGTCTTGGAGGTGTCACAGAGCCCATCCCGCACATAGCGGCAAGTGTATCCCGAGCTTTAAGTAATTTGTTATTAAGCTGTCTCTCAGTACGTAAGCACAGAGTAGTGAGATGACTCTGTATTTAGCTAAAACGATCCATTGAAAAAGACCTGGAAATTCTTTGAGTAGTGTGACAACTCTTGTACTGAAAGCACCACAGCGCTGAGGGGAGATTGGCAGTTCTACTAAAATGGCCTCTACCTTATTTTTGATTTTTGTGTGTGTGTGTGTGCATTACTATAAGGGGCAGAGTGGTATATTTCAGTACTCTCATCATGAATGCATAGTATGCCATCATCATGAATTTAAACATTGCTTAATCTATCATTTTTTCTTTTATAGGCAGACATATTCTCTGGAGCTGTATTTATACAGCTGGCCATAGGACTGAATCTTTATTTGGCCATAGTTATTCTGCTTGCTATTACTGCTCTTTACACCATCACAGGTGAGTTTGCAGAGCAGTCTGATAAATCAAAGAAGTTAGGGGAGCCAGAAAAAAGGAGGAGAGGGGAGGTGGATAAGAGGGGAGAAATGAAAACCTGAAAGGGGAGTTATTTATAGTGGTCTTTGTTTGACAGAGAGAGGTGGTGAGAAAAGTGTTTAAAAAAAAAACAAAACATAAAATAAAAAAAAATAAAAAAATATTTCCACTGAGGCATTTGCACGGGAGCTAACCTATTTGTCTTAACTTTTCCTTGCCATTAGGTGGCCTTGCGGCTGTGATTTACACAGACACCTTACAAACGTTTATCATGGTAGTGGGATCCTTTATTCTCATGGGATTTGGTAAGTAAATCAGATTAATTAAACTGGAATATTCAACTGCAAATCCCACAGTGGCTATGGAAATGGATCCTGCAGTGTGGAACTCTGTTATCTTCACCAGCAGATTTCAGTTCACATACCTATTTATCAGGGAAAGAAAATAGGCATGTTGCCAAAAAATAGGCATATTGCCAAGCCCTTTAGTCACTGAGACCACTCCATCTCCAAAGCACAGGTGAATGTGTAAGGTAATATATAGCATCCCATGACAGAACAGGACTTGTGATGGCTAATGAGGTAAAAGCAGAGTTGTTGGCAGGTGATGATGATACTCTTGAGAAGTTCAGAGAGTATCTTGTTTTAAGAAGATCATAATTTCATAGATAATCAGATGCTAATACATGAAAATTTCTGTTTCAAAGTGAAGAGCTGTTGGCCCCCTTGCATGTTTTTTCCTTGTTTCTAGCTGCTAGCTTGTGTTAAAACAACCCAAAGATACTAACATTTTATGTAAGCCTTGTAGCTGATCTTTGGATGTCATTATATTGCCAGCTGGACAAAAGATACGAACTGAATGTTTATGAATAGGAGAATGTGTGTGTCTAGAAGACCATATGCATTTTAAACCAGAAATTATGCTGTTAAACAGAATTAATAGGAAGGGATCATAAGAAAGAAAGAAGCAGTGATAAGATTCTATGAGTTTGTAGTGTCCTTTCCTTATCCTTCCAGTTACTCAGCACTTGGTTTTCCTCTAGCTAGGTCTTTCACTGAAATTCTATTATTCCACCATTGTTAGAACAGAAATAACTTCAGACTGACCTAACCTGGTAAGACCCTGCCTTAGGTTCTCCCTAGGTTGAGTGTGCGGAAATAACGTATCTTCATTTGACTTCTTGGCAAGACGTGGATAAGAGATGCTGAGATAGTGGAGCCTAAAGCAACATTTGTGAGCTATACAGAAACCTAAAAAGAAAGATCATTTTGGTACTTAGATTGTGTGAATACTTACAAAACAATGTATACTGTTTTCTGAAAATGTTGCTGTATACGGGCCAGGGTTTTTTTACATCTATATTAAGGAGGTTTTTCTCCTCACATTCTCTAGCTCTATTTGAGATTTCAGTATTAAATACTTTATCACTACTTTCACTTTCTGTTTTCCAGCATTTTCTGAAGTAGGAGGGTATGATGCTTTCATGCAGAAGTACATGGAAGCAATTCCATCCAATACCTCCTATGGGAATACTACAATTAATGCAGCATGCTACACTCCTCGAAAGGATTCCTTCCACATCTTCCGAGATGCCGTCACTGGAGATCTGCCGTGGCCAGGGCTCACCTTTGGTTTGAGCATCATTGCTTTGTGGTACTGGTGCACGGACCAGGTAACGTGGAAGCCCTATGCCTTGGAAATGCTGTGCAGTCTGGTGTGATCTAGGGGTGCTCTTTCCCCACTATAATTCAAAGCTGGGTCACAGAAATGGCAGTTATTTCAAGACTGGTCACTGACCTCCCAGTTTCTGATTTCTAAACCCCTCCCACACGTGAGAAAATGGAATGAGTGTTCTTTCCATTCTTCTTATACCCTGTGCCCAGCAGGTACTGTGTATAATTCCTTTCTCATTTTTTTGTGTGTGACCATGTGTAAAAACATGGAGAGGTTGTCATGTGAACATTTATTTAGAAAACCATGCATCAAATGACCCCTCTTAGATTGGCTCTAGATATGATTCCCCATTCAGTAATACTAGTTTGTTTCCTATTTGTGCAACTTTCTTCTTTGCATGCACAGTCTGGGGAGGAGGTTCTTTATCTATCAGGTCTTTCAGTCTGGAGACTCTTCCCCAGTCCTCCTTCCTTCTTCCTAAAACCTACCGTCTGGTTTCCCTGAGAGATCACACTGATATGAGTAGAGTTGCTCCTGCACCCGCCACACGTGAACGTGTCCAGTCTCTAGCAAGTGATTGTCCTGGTTTCAGCTGGGATAGAGTTACTTTTCTGCTTGATTTTGGATTTAGTATGAGAATAATGTTGATAATACACTGATGTTTTAGTTGTGGCTAAGTAGCGCTTATCCCAAAAAACTACGTTTTCCCATGCTCTGTCAGTGAGGAGGTGCGCAAGAAGATGAGAGGGAGTGTAACAAGGACAGCTGACCTTAACTAGCCAAAGGGGGTATTCCATACCATAGGACGTCATGCCCAGTACATAAACTGGGGGGAGTTGGCCAGGAGGTGTGGATGGCTGCTTGGGCATCCATCAGCCAGTGGTGA